TCTGCATTCTTGCACACGGTGGCTTGCGGACACCATCTCGTCGTGGGTGCTTTAGTCTTGCATGAGTGCACGTTAGGACACTTGGCAGGTGAGACAGAGCTCCCTCCTCTGAAACTTCCCTAACTCTGGCGTCCTCCGGGGTTTTGCACCGGGGCAGGAGTTTGTTCCTGCTCGAGCTGCATCCAGCGTAACTGGCCTGCAGATTTAATAGAGGTTTGATGTCAAAGAAACCCCCCACTCTGAGAGGGGGGGGTCATCTCATGATTGCCAGTGACTGCTTGGGCCAGGAACAGCTTTGCGTGGCTGTGCAGGGCTGGTACCCGGAGCTGCAGCCCCACGTGCTTGCAGCCAGGTGAGCAGCACCGGCAGATCTAGTCCTGAGCACCGAGGTCCGGAGCCAGACCTGTGCACGGGCAGTGGGACAGCAAGGGCACTGTTGGGCTTCACGTACCTGCCCTTTAATAGCCGGGCTGCAGATGACTCCTCTTAGCTTGCTAACAAACAGCCTTGTTTGAGGTTTGAGATGGTTGAACCCCACAGAAATGCCTGAGCAGGTGGCATCCTTCAAGGCCTTGGGCTCAGGGGACAGCAGCTGCACCCCGGCCACGCAGGCAGACCACTAGCAGCTCGTGGAGGTGGATGCGGATGGGTGTGTGCCGTGGGCGCAGCGGGGCCGGGGTGCAGCGGGGTCGGGGCTGCCCACTGCCACTGGAGCGAGGGTCCAGCCCTTCGACAGCACAGGCGACGGGAGAGCCCCCGCTCCAGGGAGATTGCAAAATGGCTTTGGCAGGAGCAGAGGAGCAACATGCCAAAATGCACTAAGCTAAACCAGCTTTGCTCTGCGGATTTTTTTTTTCACAAGCCACCGAATAAAACGCTGTTTTGGGAGCTGAGCTGAAGCTGGGAATCCCTCTTCTGTTCCTGCCTTTCCCCCTGCCTGAGGCAGCCCAGCCCTCCCCCGCCTGCCCACGCCCTCGCAGGATCCTACCGGCCCCTGCAGCAGCGCCGTGGAAAAACCGCATTGTGGCTCTGCGAGACTCGGCTCCACCGCCCCGGAGGAGCCCGAGGGGCTCTCCCCTGTAGGGCTGCCTGTGCGCTGGGGACTCCCTAAAGCCATCTGGAGGATGTTTTAAAAGCAAACATTGCAAAGCATTGTCTGGCCTTCCTCTAGCTAGCGGGGGAAAAAAAAAACACCCTGGAAATCTATTCTGGTCTCGCATGTGTCTCAAGTGGAAAATTTCAGCTGAACTGATTTAGGTCGGCGGGGTTAAAGGAGGTGAGGCCTGGCTGCCGCTGGCTCCGCACGGCAGGGAGGGATGGCTCCGCGCAGGCGCCCGTGCCTGCCACGCGGGCAGGGCCGGCTCTGGCCGGGCGCGCCCGGAACAGCAG